TAATGGGATCACGCAGTACATTTCTTATGTGTAAGTAAGTTGCACTTTCTACTCTATTTTTGTTTTTGAGAACTACCCATGTTGATATATATGTAGTATCTGGCTAACTTATGTAAGAAATAAAATAAGCCCCCAAATTCAGGGGCCCTAGTAGAACACAAAACATACTTAGTAGCCAGGCAACAAGGCAAATATCTTTACTTCTATGTAGAAGGGTGTGCAGCACGTGGTCTGGAAGCACTCTCACACTGAGCAGGTGGTCTGCTTGGGATTTTAATCCTGATGCATGTGACCTGCCCCTCACTCTTGATTGGAGCTCAGGCTCACAGTCTTTCTCAATTGGCTAGTTTGATGGGAGGGGTTGGCCTTTCCAGTTTCAAGGTGGGGTCCTCAGGGGAGTTGCAAGCCATGCGGCCAATGTGGCTGCTGCCAAATTAGTCCAAAATAGTGGCTGTCTAAACTGTTCTTTGACAGAAAAGATGACTTGTTTATTCTCACACCTATTTTAACTGATGAAAATTTAATCTAGATGTATGTCATTTATGATATGTAATCATATCAGTATATTTTTCTATTCCCCTATTACTGATTACTTAGGTTGTTCTATTGTTTTTGTTACTGTGGACATGAAGGCATGAACAGTCCTGTACAGTCTCCTGGGCTCAGGTACATGGGTTTCCCTGGAGGCTCTACCCAGAGCAGACTGCTGGGTGGTTGGGTATTTGCATGTAAAACATTGCCAGGCATTGTCTCAGTTCACCCAAGTGTTTCCTTAATTTACTCCCCGATGTACAATGTACAACAATTATTTCCCTACCCTCTCCCAACACTGAGTACTGTCAGACTTCCTAATTGTTAGACAGCCTAGAGTATAAAGAGGTATCTCATGGCTAATTTTCATTCCTCTGATTCCTAATAGGATTGAGTATTTTTTTTTAATGTGTTCAGTTGCCATCCCTTATTGATTTTTCTATGCCTCAGCTATACATATATTTGTTGACCTCTCTTCTATTTGATCTCTTAATCTCTGTCTCATTACTTTGTAAGAGTTCTTTGTATGTTCTGAAAACGAACTCTTTGTATGTTAATTGCATTGCAAATAGCTTCTCCTAGGATGTGACTTGTTTTAAAACTTGATTTCTAGTGTTTATGTTTTAGTTTTTATCACCGATGAGTTTACTTTTGATGCAGCCAACTGTGTGGATAAAATGGCAGTTGAGAAAGTGGCCTCTAATACCAAATGGCAGGGTCAGAATTCTGGCTCTACTACTTGCTAGCTCTGAAATATCCAGCAAGTTCCTTAACATCTTTTACCTCAGTTTCATTATCTGTAAAATGGGAACATATTAATTCTCTTAAAAGACATGGAATGAACATCATCTACCATATTGTCTGGTATAAAGTGAGAGTTATGCAAGTGTTAGCTACTAAAATTGATCATTTTCATATTTTATTTCTGAAACTCTTAATATCATTGATTTATGTATATATTTAGATATATAGTTAAAGGTTAATGTTACTTATGATAGTCTTTATTATGCATTTCTTTTCTCACAATATTTGGATTCTGGAACTTAAACACAGTTATGATTAAATATATTTGGAATGTTCTAAATTACATTTATATATTTCTGTACAATTAATTCTATTTCAATAAATAGTATTTTTAATGAAAGCCAACTTTATTTCTTGAAATAGAACATGCATGTAGTTGGATAATATTATTGGAGAAAGTTCTCCATGAGTAATTCCTAACCACCTGAAATAAGAAGGATGGAGACACAGGCTAATCCATGTTCATTAAATGTATAAATAGCCTGTTTGCTTTTTAAAAAGCACCCACCTCAGAGCAGTTTTTAAGAGAAGGGATTAATGAATAAACTATGCAATTGCATAGAAACCCCTATCCAAAAGAGTAAAGTGTACATTCAGAGGAAATAAAATCCAAACCAGGTCTCTCTTGGGACTTCCACTTTCTGTGATCATTCATACTTTTAATGCTTTTTAACTGCACCAATGGAATCAGGAAACCATTTATGTGATTAATGCTCTTTGCCCCAAAGGAATGCCCTTCTGCTTGGAGAAGATAGTTTTATAGTCACTGCCAATGGTGTTTTTTAATTGTAATAAAAAATGCTTCTTCTTTCTTCTGTTGCATCTTAAAATAGAAATACTTTTGAAAGACATGAACAAAAAATAAGTATTATGAAATCACCCAGTATTGTCGATGAGGCTAAATCTCAGAGGATGGGTACAAGACATCTCCCAGCTCAATGTGTGGAAATGAAGAGAGAGAAGCAGGAAATGTCTTATGAATATAAATGATGGCCCTTTTAAAGTGATAAGTGATGCTAATATGGAAGTAGAAAATACTTTCATATATATATATATATATATATATATATATACACACACACACACACACACACACACACACACACACACACACACTTTGTTGATTTCAGAGAGGAAAGGAGAGTAAGAGAGAAATAGAAATATCAATGATGAGAAAGAATCATTGATCAGATGCCCCTTATTGGGGATCGAGCAGGCAACCTAGACATGTACCGTGACCTCTTGGTTCATAGATCCATGCTCAATCACTGAGCCACACTGGCAGGTGATGGCACATTTCTGTATTATTCAGTGTGACATTTATTCTATGGAAACAATCCTCCAACATCAGAGTTTTAACGAACATTGGTTTGTTTCTTACTCATGCATTGTCGTGTATGGGTTGGCGGAGATCTTTCTTTCACATCCTTACTGAGGGACCCATCGCAACACAGGGCTTAACAGGGAATGAGCATGAAGATCGCATTCCTGCCTTTCTCTGCCTAGAGCAGGAAGTGACACTTGTCCCTTCCTCTCACAGACTTTCACATGGCTCCCTCTCTGTGCAAGGAGGCAGGAAGTGTGGTCTTCATTGTACCTGCAGAGAGAGAAGTGTGGGGCTTCAGTGAGCCCTGGGAGAAGCTTCCAGTGACTGGCTCACTCTTACTGCATTGGGTGGGAACTAACCTTAGTGTGTTTCTCTCTATAGCTGTAGACTAGGAGGTAGGAATGTGAGTTTTGGAGTTGAATCGATTAGTTTAATCAGCTACTGAGTTCCTTAAGATCCCTGTGGTCAAGTTAGTTAGCATCAATAAGCATGTTATTCTCCATCTGCCAAAATAAATGTGTGATTGTTGTGGATAAGCAGAGACCTGGTATTCAGTAAGTACTTACAAAAGGGCTGCACTGATAAAAGGAATGTTGTCGTAAATCCTGGAGGATATAACAGAAAAAATAATGTCAGTTTCCTGGGACTGCCATAACAAATTACCGCAATTGTGAGGATTAAACCAAAAGAAACTTATTTGTTTGAGGGAGAAGAAGAGAAGTTCCAAACAGAGCTGCGAAACCTATGAAGGCTCTAGAGATTAATCATTTCTTGTCTCTTCACAGTTCCGATGGCTCCAAGCATTCCTTGGCTTGTGGAGGCATAATTCCAATCTCTGCTTCATCCTCACTGGCCTTCTCTTTCTCTCCCTCCTCTTCTATCTCTCATAAAAACACTAATCATTGGATTCAGGACTAACTCATCTGAAAATTTTTAATTACATCTGCAAAACCATTTTTTCCCAATAACAATTCTTAGTTTCTAGGGATTTTATGTGGCCATATCTATGAGGAGAGAGGGCCATCCTTCCACTTACTATACATATGAAAGTATTTTCTACTTCTGTATTAGCATCTCTTATTAAATGAACATGCTCTGCAGTTTTTAAAATATTGATTATAGGATAACAATTCTGTTTTAAGTGTTAAGCTTTGTAGATAGATGGTACTGCTATATAAGGTTACATCTTTTTAATATAAAAAAAAGTTGCACTGGATTGACTTTGTAATGTTATCATTTCATGTATCTAATGTCTATAGCTCTCATCATTGTAAAACCATTTTCAAGTTTGCTCATATGTATTGGCTTCAGAGCAATATACCCTGTAAAAGCTATATGTCTCTTAAGGGATTACTCATGTATTCATTTATATCAATCATGGGTTTTCTGAACCCTGATTTATGCCAGAATTCCTTTTTCCTCCTGTAAATGTATTCAAAAGTCATCTCCAAGGTATAGATTAGAGTTCTAAAACCCACTTGCTGTTGGGAAACTGATGAGCTATTCATAGAAGCTACTTGCTCAGAGTAAAAGATGCAGTGGAATAAATGTAGAAAATCATTCTGGAAGTGATGTCTGTCAGTGATTGGCATCTAGATTTCTCAATTATTAACACATTGGAAGTATTTATGTATATAATGAATTTTTTATACTTAGACATTTTAAATGTATGCATATATTTAATAAAGCATTCAAAATGAATCTGTTTTCAACATAGTTGCATTTTGCACAATATCTTTGGTATATTATGCATGTGAACATACGTATACTGGGATCATTTTATTAAATGAATGTATACAGTGAGAATTTGGGAACTGCATATTCAATTGGTAGTAAAATGTTATAGTTTTTAAATTACTTAATGTAAACTATAATAATCAGCTTAAAGGAACAGTTCACCTGATATGTCTATAAGAAGGTATAAGTTTATTATGTCATCCTTGTAATGAAAAGGGGGAGTATTATTTCTTTTTCAAACTGCCTCACAAAGTCTACATGAAACTTTTCAGACTTGTGTTTTAAAAGCACTGAAACAGGGGTAGAACTGCATGTATATAAAAACTATTATAAGGAACAAGTGTAATATGTTTGGCTTTGTGAAAATTGAACTGTTCTTTTGAAAATTACTGGACAATATCTATTTATAATATGCTAATACCTAGGAATCAAAAGAGGCGTACAACAAATGGATTAAAGTTAAGATTGTATCAAAAGGAGGTCTCTTTTTTCAGTAAGAAATTAAAACAAGTTCCAGGAGCCACCATTACTACCCTAATGCCGTGTAGGGTCCTTTTGTTTCTAATCCATGCCTTATACCTATGTGTTCTCTTTCTTACAGTTCAGCAGAAGAGCAGTTTCACTGGCAGTCACAAGGTAAAGTAAGCTTTCTTTGTTTAAAAAACATATATTTTTATTGATTTGTTGATTTCACAGAGGAAGAGGGAGAGAGAGAAAAAAAAATCATTGATGAGAGAGGATCATTGATTAGCTACCTCCTGCATGCCCCACACCAGGGATCAAGCCTACAACCCAGGCATATGGCTCAACTGAGAATCAAACCATGACCTCCTGATTCACAGGTCAATGCTCAACCACTGAGCCAGGTGGAACGGGCCAAGTATGCCTTCTTGATGAACACTTATTACATGTGTCTCTATTGATTACTTTCCTTGTGAAATTTAGGAAGAGACTTATGAAAATGAGCATGACAACACCATAACACTAAAATTAAGTGAAGTTGTGATAGCTCACAATTTCATGGGACCTAAGTTCTCACAATTTCCCTAGTCACTTTCTGTCCTTCATGTGAACATGGAATTGGGGGATAGGGCGGGATTTAGCTTTTAATGCTGGTTGACTGAAGATTACACTATGATACTGAGTGAGAACTTCATAGTACTTTTGATTTTTAAATGATTACCTTAAGCTTTAATATCATCTCATGTTTATGACTTTAAAATACTACAATTCCAGATGGTCAAAAAGATATCGAAGACGAACTCACAACAGGTCTGGAGCTGGTGGACTCCTGTATTAGATCGCTACAGGAATCTGGAATACTTGACCCACAGGATTATTCCACAAGTGAAAGTAAGTCAAGTGACAATTATATTCGAAGACAATTAAAAAAATATCATGCCATTATTTTTCTAATATAACTAATATTATGAGACATATTGAATAGGACTTCTAGACATGTTTATACTTATGTTATGTATTTCGCTTCACTCTCACCTACTTCCTTCCCACATTACCCCTCTCCAATTCACATGAAATTGTAAATGCTCTTAAATCAGTAATTGGCATCTAATGTTTTCACCAATTACTGATGTAATTGTGATTCTCAACAATTCTCTGATAAACAGTTTAGCCTCTAGACCAACACATTGTATGAACACATCATATATGGTTTAATCAACTCAGTGTCTGCTTTAAAATTAATTGACAATGCCTTACTCCTACAGATTATCGTTGGTAGAGATTTTAAACCATATGGTTTAAAATTATATAACAAAATAGGAAAAGTAGGTGTAATATATGCTACTGTTTAAGTGTAATACACTTTTTACAATTCTATATTTAGCAATTTGATATTGCTGTATTAATCTCAATAGAGTATTTAAAGATTTCTTTACTTCCACTTAATTACATATTTTTCAACCAGACTGGTTGAGATGTAAAATAAAAGTGCTGAATTGAAATGAGCCACACATTAATAAATCATAAAATTATCTTAATTTATTTCAGTAAAATCCTATGAAAAGCTAAAATCTAAATCATTAAAACTTACATTATCTTGATAATTTCTACATTAGAAATCAGTGGAGCATTTTGTTCCTTAATTTATAAAAATAAAATTTCCTTGAATATTCATCAAGGTTTGCCATAGAAAAGAAAGAAGATATAAGAATAAAATAGTATAGTGCTCTTGAAACCATTTCACTTACATATTAGTGTATTTTCTCTATAATCTTTCTAATTCCACTACTCATAGGGCAGTATCATCATGAATATCCCAATTTATTTAAATACATCCCCTCAATAAAGCTCCTAGAGTAAGATGCATGATTTTTGTTCTCTCTATTTTGTATTTTAAAATGTAGGATAGTTTCCTCTTCTCTCTGAGTCAATAAATTTATTTCCTTTTATCGTCAGTTGTACTTAAAATATATTTAATTAAGATATGATGTACTCAAACTTTCTCTTTATTAGACAGTAAGGAAAGCAGAGATAAAATAGTGTATCTTAGGATTATATTGGATATCTCATATTTGATACTAAAATAATAAATATATTTTATTATGAGGTTAGAAGAGGGGATGTTTTAATACATGAAAAGTATAGAAAAATAAGAAATAGTAAAATTAAAATGAGATAAACTGACTCTACCAATCTAGCTCTACCTGTAAACACAATGGATTTCTTTGAAAAGAATAAAAATTCAAGTTTGTAGTAATAGTGATGTGATGTTTATGAGACACTAATATTAATGAAGTAAATGTTGAAATCAAAGGAATAGATACACTAGTGACTGCAAATACAAAGAACACAAAAAGTGGAATTGAAAAGCAAATGTGAGTGAAGTGGAATTTCATGTAGAAGCACTAAGCATGGTCAAAAACAAAGTGAAAGATGTGATAAACTCATAATAAAATCTAATGAACATTATGCACCAAACTACATAGCGTCTGAATATTAAAACAAAAAATATTAAAAATGATAAAGTTGATGAAAAATATTATGAATATATCAATGCCTATTTATCAACTAGACTGAATACTAGAGGAAAAAGCCATAGAAATCCAGAACAAATAATAAATTAACTTATATTTGCTGAATGGTAATATACATTTTTTATATATGTCCAAGGAATAATTATAAATATTGATCTGCTACCACATGGTAAAGACAATCTTATACATTAAAAAGTATAGCCCTAGTCGGTTTAGTCAGTGGATAGAATGTTGGCCTGCAGACTGAAAAGTTTCAGGTTCTATTCTGGTAAAGGGCACCTGCTGGAATTGTGGACTCAATGCCCAGTAGGGGGCATGCATGAGGCAGCCAATCAATGATATTCTCTCATCATTGGTTTCTATCTCTCTCTCCTTCTCCTTTCCTCTCTGAAATCAATTTAGAAAGCATATAAAGGTCACATTTTAATAATAACTCCTAAAATTGAATAACAAAAAATAAGCAAAAATCCTATCTAATAAAAGAGTAATAAGCAAATTTACCCCATATAAACTGTAGCACAGGAGTCCCAAAAGTATCTCTGCTGCTACACCCACAAGCCACGCCCACCAGCCATTCAGGAGCGGGTATACAAATTAACCCAACCAAGATGGCTGCAGCCACAGAGAGAGCAGGAGGCTTGGGTTTCCCTGGCAGTGGAGAAAACCAAGCTTTTCACCTGCCCTTACTGGCCCTGGCCTCCACTCAAGGTTAAAAAGTTTCAACTATAGAAGATAAATTAATCCCAACAAATATGGTAGGATTGGGCCTGAAAGGACAGTCAGACATCCCTTGAGGGATCCCAGATTGGAGAGGGTGCATGCTGGGCTAAGGGACACCCCCTCTCCCCCTACCCCATGCATGAATTTCATGCACTGAGCCTCTAATGTAATTATATTAAAATTAAGAACCAGGCTTTTGGATCTACTGAAACAAATTTGGTCACTGCTGGATTTTTGTTTTTCAGAAAGATTAATTATTATGTACTGAATTAGCTGTCTGAAAACTTCTAGGATTTTACTTGATTGTCTTTTTTTATAAGCCTACCCTTCCTTGTTTGGAGATAGGAAAGAAATAAGGCAAACACAATAACAACCAAAGAAAGAAACAGGTTTGTAGAAGTGCCACCTAAAAGTTTTATGCCATAGGCTCTGAATCACAGTGAAATGTGAAATATTGTTGTTCTTAACATTTTCAGAGTCAGTTTGAGAAGAATTAATTGAGAAAAATTTAGGAAATTAATTTAAAAATATTGAGTGGATAACTAATATTTTGAGTATTAACTGTTGCTAATTTTAAGTACTTATCAAATAAAATCCAAGTTTTTGTATCTGTATCAAGGTTCAAAATGGAGATAGATTCTTCTCAAAAGAGTTGAACTGATGGGAATTTGAGGTACTATTTACAAAGATTAACGGAATAAATGATGTCTGCTGAGATTCACAGGGAACAGCAACAAACAGAAGCCCTTTCCACCCTCAGTCCTGAAGGAAAGTGTAGGGAATAGTAGCAGCAGAGTCAAGAGGCATGACAGGAGCAGAGGTATAACATAGGACCTTTCTCTCCTCTCGCCTTCTCTGCCCTTCCTGCACTTCCTAATAGCCAAATCCAGTCAGAAAACAAACAGAAAGGACTCCTGTGCTACAGTGTATATGGGGTAAAGGGCAGAAAATGAATATGGGGAGCAAAGAAAGTAATCAGCAGAACATTCTGCTAAAGGCTGGAAGAAGATACCATGTTTATATTATTTTTTATTGATTTTTATTTTCATTTTTAAAAATTTTATTTTATTGTTTAAAGTATTACATAAAGTAGTACATATGCCTCCTTTTTTCCCCATTGACTTCCCCCTGGCTTCTCCTACCCCCAGGAACATGCCCTCCTCCCACCCCTCCCCCAGTATCTGTGTCCATTGTTCATTGGTTATGCTTATATGTATGCATACATGTCCTTTGGTTGATCTCTTACCTCCCCCCACAACCCTCCTTAGCCTTCCCACTGTAATTTGACAGTCTGTTCGATGCCTCTCTGCCTCTGTATCTATCTTTTTGTTCATCAGGTTGTAATTTTCTTTATTATCATAAATGAGTGATATCATGTGGTATTCTTGCCATTTGCAGCAGCATGGATGGAACTGGAGAGCATTATACTAAGTGAAATCAGCCAGTCAGTGAAAGAAAAATACCATGTTTATATTCTTGATATATAAATTCAGCACATAGATATGTTGTGGCTCTATGACACATTTCATCTAGTATTATGAGCCCATCAGATTCTGCTAGTCCCTTGATTTTGTGATTATCCAATCAATGGATTCATTAGCTAGAACAGATATGGAATAGCTAATGCAAAACTGGACCTGGCACACTGCCCTTGAGAGCCAGCCTCTTAGTCCTAACTCAGAAAACACAACAACACTAAATACAGACTAAAAGCAGTTTGAAACAGTTCTAAGTGGCAACCAATCTCTACTTCTATGAGCATAGTACTTATTGTTTTTAAAAGCTTTTTCCATATTTCTTTCCAAAATCTGATTAAAATAAAATTTGAGTCTTAGCCAATCTTCTTGACCCTCAGACTAGTAATAACTGCTCTATTGTACTGACTGTAGTGTCATACAGTTACCAGTGTTTCTCAACACGTGGCATTTTTTTAAGTGCCATCCATCCATATACAACCTTAGCCACTGGCACTGTTCTGTGACCGCCAGCTGTGTAATTTCAATTCCAGCAAATATATGTCACATAGTCACTATGAAAATTGCTATTGCTTTTTTTGGGGGAAAATGTTACTGACAGAAGCTCGGGGCCATTAGCATCTCACATAATGTACAGCTTGACCCAAACTGCTATGGACAAGCTACCCTATTTAATCCATGCATCCTTTGAGAAATAAGCTCAGAGAAAGGGGTGATTATACCAGCCAAAAAGTAACAAAAATATGTCAGTCAAAATCAGAAATTGAATGGAAACCTTGGGGAAAAAAGGACTTACATGTTTATAGGAATTGTTAATTGCTTTAAATATTATATTTTGAAATAGTAATTATTTCTGTCTGTAGCAAATTGAAGTTCCACCGTATCCTAGAAAATACCAGAATCCAGTAGCAATAAAATTTTAGGAGCTTAATATATTCTGAGTGTTATGGCAAAAAATGGAATGTCATCTTAGTCTGAGCTTTCAAATCAGAATATATTCAAAAAATTAAGAATCAATCATGGAAGGTACCATCCTGAGAAGGTGAAATCCAAATAAAACAGTCATATGTAGTTTGACAAAATGAATATATCATGTACTCTTGATTTATAGTTGGACATTTTCATTTAGTTACTGTGAGTACACTTAATTCTGTATAGTGAG